AGCGCAAATTTGGGCAGCACGCCCTTTGTATTTACCTATTTTCCAGCCATTTACGACTTCATTCGTTTCCTCAATCAGTCCCAAAATCACACGCAAAGAGTCTCATTACAATAGCCGTTCAATAGGCTCAACGTCATACAATTACAAAACCATGCTACAGAAATGACCGGAAATAAGGTTTAAGGCAAAAAGTAAAAGACAGGTTCGACGTCTCTTAGCGTATCGGTCACAACCGAAGCTACGCTTATCAGATTGGGGTGAATTTATACCATTTCGAAAATAAGACAAAGGGTTACAACTTTGATGAAGACCACTCAATCCAGTTCATAGTGTATCCAAGGCAAATACATCGTTTACAGAACCAGAATTTCACCTTCAGGCTGGTTAACAACACTGCGTTCAACTGACAATAACTCAGGCTACAAAAGTCCGATTGAGGCGCTTTCAGTGGCGTTGGAAAGCTAAAATATAGTACTACAACTTTTATGTTTTGGCCAAATGCTAATTCAATACGGATCAAGGTAAAAAAATACGGCCAGAATGGTGAAATGTCAAAACTGTCCACAGAGCTCTACCTATGGCAGTCAAGGGTATTTTTGTCTTTTCATGTGATACAGTACTTGGATTGAGTTGAAAGTTTGTAGGAAGCTATACAACATCATTTCCTACAACTTTCATGGTTTGAGCTAAGTCTAATTCGGCCTCCATCATGGCCAAACAGAACCGGTCAGAACAGGATAAGATGAAAACCCAAATCTGGAATTTAGTGATTTTAAAGTGTAAACTTCACTTTTCTAGCTTAAACCACTACTACAACTTCCTATACAATATTATATATCCCATATACCATCCAAACAATAAGAAATATAAGTGAACCATTCAAAACCCTAACTCAAAATTTCAGCACCACAAGCATCAAAACCCCTTAACTAGGTATCACAAGGCAAGAATACAAGTTACTACATAACTTCAACAAGACTAAGGGAAAGGAGGAAGATGAACAGCCATAATACCTCAATTAAAGGCTTGCAAGAGATATCCTTCACCTCTCTTTGAAAAATTTAGCTCCCCAAGCTTCCAAAGCTCCTAATTGAGAAGTTAATCGGTTTAGTTTCCTTGATTTCTCACTCAAATGGATTAAGCTCAAGAAGAAATGGAGTTTTGTGAGAACCCGAAAAATTTCTTAATTTCTAGGCATTATTTTCTTTCTTTGCACACGTTTTCTATATTTTCATTATTTCATTGATTTTATAGATATTTTTATAAGTAAATATAGTTTTTAAATCATTTTTCTAGTATAAGTTAGTTCATTCGATATTTGAAGTGTGTATTGGGCGTGGGACCCGAAAGTGCGGTAAGTGCGGTAAAATTCGGCCAATTAGGTTAAGTTTTGTATACCAGGAGTAATTACTAGGTGCTAAGAGATAATTAAAAGTTACCTAGATGGATTAGTATTAGAGAGACAAGAGGATAAGTTTAAGCTTAAAAGGTGACAAGTGTCACCATCCTATGCAATCTTGGACTTTGACCATTTAACTTTACCTTTACCATATATCAAAAATTGACCCAAAAATCATTCTTATTGCAAGCTTCTTTGGCCGGCTCTCTCTAGGAAGAAAAGAAAAGAAACCTTCAACTCTTTTGCTCTCAATCTTGCTCAATCTTCCAATCCAACCGATTAAGCTTGAGATTACTCCATAAAAACCCTTAGCTAGGTAGGTTTGAGGAAGTTGGTGGAGTTGTTTGGGAAGCAAGAGACCTAAGCTACAACCTTTTGGGAGGTATCAAAGTATGGTGTGTAAAGATTCCTTGTTTGGTTCCAATAATGGCTAATTCATGACTTATGGTGGCTAGTTATGTGATTTTATGGGTTCTTTCATGACTTTTGGTAGAGATTGTGGAATTTTATTTTTTATTCATAATTTTTCTGTTTTATATGTTTAATGTTGGTTGGCCATGGATGATGGCTTGGTATGGTGTAGAATGAACTTATGGAGTGTTAATTGTAGCTATTTGCCGAAAATTTCAGTTTTGTGCGGAAATTTCGGCTTTAGGGTTCCAATTTTCCCTGTTCTGTCCGGCTTTATTTGAGCATGTTAGAGGCCAAATCAAGTTTACGTTAAAACATGAAATTTGTAGAAAATGATGTTAACTAGCTGCCTGAAAATTTTCAGCTCAATCGGAGTAGGGTATCTTATGAAATGATGAAATTGCCCCTGCTGCCCTGTTTCTGTCAAAAATGATAATCAGCCTCTGTAAGTGGTTAGTTTGACCAGGAATATTACTGAATTGATTGTCTACGTCTTCTTAAGAATTATAGCCTTGTATCTTAGCTTTCAAATGGCTTTTGAATTACCTGAATCGAAGTTGTGTGTGTTGAGATATGATTGAATGAATCAGGACTGCTCAGTAAGCTTCGAACTGGAAAATCTGGGGTTGTTTTGGTAAATTTGACCTAGTTAGGGTGAGAACTGGACTAAGTAGTCTTCATCAAAGTTATAGCCCTTTGTCTTAGCTTCTAAACGGTATAACTTTCACTTCAATCCAATAAGCGTAGTTTCAGTTATGTCCGATACGCTAAGTAGCGGTGAATCTGCCTTTTTGGTTTCTTAGCTTAAAGTTCATTTCCGGTCATTTTCCCAGCTAAATCTTGTACTTGAATGACTTTGAGCCTATTGCACGGCTTTTGTGATGAATTTATATTGTGTATGACTTTGGGATTGATTGAGGAAAATAATGAAGTCATAAATGGCTGGAAAATAGCTAAATATAAAGGGTGTGCTGCCCAAATTTTCACTCGAGAATTTGGTAACGATTTGAGAGCGAATACTATATGAACCATCTAGGATATTTGCGTCCTCTTTTATCGAGGTATATAAGGTCGAATCTGGCCGAAACTTGTACACTTGGAAAAATGGAATTTACGACTAATAGAAATACGTTTTCATCATTTCTTCGACTCAAATGGATAATTCAAAGTTTTACGAGTGAGCATAAGTATTCTAAATATTTTACTCATGTCCTTTGGTTTAAATGTATTCTTTTCACTTCCAAAATTATATTTATACTTTGTACTAGTAGTATTTGAATTATCTTCGATTCACCTAACTTTTGCTGGAGGAACTGTAATATTTTCTCTTGATTAACCTTAGGATTCATCGGTGATTGAGAGTGTTACCCGGAAAGATATTCTAGACGTTATTTCGCCTTGATAGGTGAGTGTACCACTCCCCTGAATTGTTGCTTAATTGGTTCATCTATACTTGAAATGTGTGACATGGATAACTATGACCTCTGTTATTCTGAATGAGACGAGGGTGTACTTTATCACACTCGTTCTCTTGCCTGTACTGAATGAACTAGAATCTCTTACCTGTACTTGTTATGAACTTGAACTTGTTACTTGTGCCTGTTATGAGATCATTTGGAAGTGTGTCCAACGATTTTCCTGTTAACTTGAGCTCAACCTCATGGGGAGTTAATTAAGTCGAGCCAGCAAGGGTTTGGTCGAGGTAATTGACAATCCATGGGTGCCTATTCCTGGGGAATCTTTGGGTATTGAGACTCTTGATTCCGGTATACTCGAGTATTACCATTCCTGTTACTGTTCGGCGTTCGGGCCCGGTAAGGGGGATGTTTGGTGAACGGAATTTTGGCGTAAGAGGGGTCTACGGACATGAGTGTGTTATTAAACGTTGACGGAGAGTCAACGAGGCTGGATCAAGTATTGCAACGGTGATTTGGCTCCTGAGGGCCACCTGTATCCTTTAAATTGTGGTGTTCATTGATTTCTCTTACTTGATGTGTATATGTGGCCTAAACGTGTTTTCTCATGATTTCCACTATTATACTTTTGGTACCTCATTGAGCTTCGAGCTCACCCCGTTCCGTTATCCTTATTTTCCTTACAGGGAACCACTTTTGGAACTGTGATTTTGAAGCATGAGTTGAGCTAGTTTAGATATTTTGTATAGCTCCTCAATGGTTGGAAACCCTAATTGTACTTGGATTCAAATGTTCCCTTTTGATTTGTAAAAATACGAATGTGGTTTACAAAAGCGTGTACTCATGTTCATGTGGTATGTTTGGTTTGTATATGTCCATTTCAAAGATTATATGAAGTTACTTGTATTCGATTGGGTCCTGGTCGGATTGTGACGTGGCAGGCACTATTCACTTTCCGTTTCGATTTTTTCATTTTTTCGATTTCGTTATTTTTTTTGCTTTGTTTAAGCGCGCTGCTGTATTCCAGCACGTTTTGAGTTGTGTATAACCGTCTTAGTTGTCCTGGCGAGAGTTGGGCAGGCTGTCCGCTAACCTCTTTGGTACGCCTTAGGGGAAGGTGGGGCTGTCACAGGTGGTATCAGAGCCGCTTCGCATGGTCTCTGCGCGGAGTGAGCTTGGGGCCAAGTGGTGTTATGGTCCTGATTACATGAATGTGTACAAATGTTTAAGTGCCCTTTTGAGCATAAGTTTGGATTATGAAATGTTATAGGTTTTAAACCTTTATTGTGGTACTTGGAGACAATAGATCTGTAGGTCAGGTGAGAATCTCGATTGTAGATGAATTACCCTTGGGACTGGCCAGCCCAAGTTGTGACTTATCTTATTTTGGGATTCTTGTACCCGACTACTTAATAGATGAGAGCCTAGGTTAGAAATGACTTGGGCGGACTGGAAATTTGATTCTATGAAACGTCATGTGATGTGTTAGGATTTCATTACGGATGATTAACCCTGCTTAAGATATAAATTGTGTTATTCTTGTAGATTATGGCTGGAGCCCTAGAGGGGAAAAGCTTTTAATTGGTTGCTCTTGTACCATTGGCTTAGTTAGTATCACGAAGGATGTTTCCTTTTGCTTGTATCTGATTGAATGTACTATGTGATTTGTCTGCTAAAGATGTGATGTACGTATATTGCCTATTTTTATCACTTGTACATGTATACTTTGGTTTTACTACTGTATTCGCGGTTCAACCCTAGACTGGTTAAGCCAAATGGAGAGTACTCGTGGTGGACGGGGCCGGGGGTGCGGAACCTCAAATGAAGGAGGAAATCGGGAACCAATGCCTGGACCTAATCCCGAACCTGGAATGGACCCTAACATTCAGGTAGCTGCCGCTATCCAACGTATGACTGACCTTTTGGCTCATGTAGTAGAACATCAGGGCCAAAATCCTATTCATCAGTCGGGCAATCCTGGTAATCACGTAGAGGGTGAGGATAGAGCTCTCGAACGATTTCAGAAGTTCTCGCCACCGAAATTCCTTAGAGGACCAGACCCTGATGTGGCCGAGAGGTGGCTCGAGAAGATGATTGATATTTTTTCCGTGCTACACTATACTAAGGAGCGACAGGTCACATTTGCTGTCTTCCAATTGGAGGGAGCAGCCCATTCTTGGTGGAATATCATAAGACTGAAACGGGAAAGAGAACAAACCCCAAGGACGTGGGTGAATTTCATGAGAGAATTCAATACGAAGTATTTTCCACCTTTGATCCAGGAGAAGAAAGAAGATGAGTTTATTAGACTTCGGCAGGGAACTCAAACTATCGCCGAATATGAGATCCAGTTTACCAGATTGTCTAAATTCTCTCCCGAACTAATCGTGACTGAGCAACAGAGGATACGGCGTTTTGTCCAAGGTTTAAACGTTGAGATTCAGAAGGACCTGGCTGTAGCCCAACTCAACGCCTTTAGTGATGCAGTAGAGAAAGCTCAACGAGTTGAAAGTACGAGGTTACAAGTTAGAAACTTTCAATCCAAGAAAAGGGGATTTCTTGGAAGTAGCTCAGAGCAAGGGGATAGGGGTACGCCTCCTAAGATTGGAAGGGGCAACGGCGGAGTACAACTACCAGGGATGTCACGTGGTGCCTCACAGAGAGGCTCAGTCTCCGCTTCCCGTGGTCCCTGCAGGTACTGTGGGAAATCGAATCACACGGAGGATGTCTGCTAGAAGAAAGGAAGAAAATGTCTGCGTTATGGGAGCGCAGATCATCAAATCGCAAATTGCCCAGGCCGATCTCGAGAAGGTAATAGGAGCCAACTGCCAACCACGACCAACCCTGACCAGTCAAGGGAGGAAAAGAATGGACCAAAGGTGTCGGCTCGGGTGTATTCCCTAGAGCAACATCAAGTCCCTGACCCGTATGAGGACGTGAAAGGTAAGATTCCGGTATTCTACCGTTTGACCACTAGAATGGTGTGTAAGAATTACAATTTGGAAAAGAAGAAGAGACTATACCAAAGACTTCAATGTGTCTGGCCAGAAAAGGGGTACGGATTGGTTAGCTAAGTATGGTGCTCAAGTTGACTGTGAGAAGGAAGTAATACACTTTTTGTCACCCGGAGAAGGATTATAAGAAATTTCGAGGACGAAATTTTTTTAAGGGGGAAAGAGTGTGAGAACCCGAAAAATTTCTTAATTTCTAGGCATTATTTTCTTTCTTTGCACACGTTTTCTATATTTTCATTATTATATTGATTTTATAGATATTTTTATAAGTAAATATAGTTTTTAAATCATTTTTCTAATATAAGTTAGTTCATGTGATATTTGAAGTGTGTATTGGACGTGGGACCCGCAAGCGCGGTAAGTGCGGTAAAATTCGGCCAATTAGGTTAAGTTTTGTATACCGGGAGTAATTTATTAGGTGCTAAGAGATAATTAGAGGTTACCTAGATGGATTAGTATTGGAGAGACAAGAGGATAAGTTTAAGCTTAAAAGGTGACAAGTGTCACCATCCTATGCAATCTTGGACTTTGACCATTTAACTTTACCTTTACCATATATCAAAAATTGACCCAAAAATCATTCTTATTGCAAGCTTCTTTGGCCAGCTCTCTCTAGGAAGAAAAGAAAAGAAACCTTCAACTCTTTTGCTCTCAATCTTGCTCAATCTTGCAATCCAACCGATTAAACTTGAGATTACTCCATAAAAACCCTCAGTTAGGTAGGTTTGAGGAAGTTGGTGGAGTTGTTTGGGAAGAAAGAGACCTAAGCTACAACCTTTTGGGAGGTATCAAGGTATGGTGTGTAAAGATTCCTTGTTTGGTTCCAATAATGGCTAATTCATGACTTATGGTGGCTAGTTATGTGATTTTGTGGGTTCTTTCATGACTTTTGGTAGAGATTGTGGAATTTTATTTTTTATTCATAATTTTTCTGTTTTATATGTTTAATGTTGATTGGCCATGGATGATGGCTTGGTATGGTGTAGAATGAACTTATGGAGTGTTAATTGTAGCTATTTGCGGAAAATTTCAGTTTTGTGCGGAAATTTCGGCTTTAGGGTTCCAATTTTCCCTGTTCTGTCCAGCTTTATTTGAGCATGTTAGAGGCCAAATCAGGTTTAGCTTAAAACATGAAAGTTGTATCAAATGATGTTAACTAGCTACCTAAAAAATTTCAGCTCAATTGGAGTAGGGTATCTTATGAAATGACGAAATTGCCTCTGCTTCCCTGTTTCTGTCAAAAATGATAATCAGCCTCTGTAAGTGGTTAGTTTGACCAGGAATATTACTGAATTGATTGTTGATGTCTTCTCAATAATTATAGCCTTCTATCTTAGCTTTCAAATGGCTTTGGAATTACCTGAATCGGAGTTGTTTGTGTTGAGATATGATTGAATGAATCAGGACTGCTCAGTGAGCTTCGAACTAGAAAATCTGGAGTTGTTTTGGTAAATTTGACCTAGTTAGGGTGAGAACTGGACTAAGTAGTCTTCATCAAAGTTATAGCCCTTTGTCTTAGCTTCAAAACGGTATAACTTACACTTCAATCCAATGAGCGTAGTTTCAGTTATGTCCGATACGTTAAGTAGCGGTGAATCTGCCTTTTTGGTTTCTTAGCTTAAAGTTCATTTCCGGTCATTTTCCTAGCTAAATCTTGTACTTGAATGACTTTGAGCCTATTGAGCGGCTGTTGTGATGAATTTATATTGTGTATGACTTTGGGATTGATTGAGGAAAATAATGAAGTCATAAATGGCTGGAAAATAGCTAAATACAAAGGGCGTGCTGCCCAAATTTCCACTCGAGGATTTGGTAACGATTTGAGAGCGAATACTATATGAACCATCTAGGATATTTGCGTCCTTTTTATCAAGGTATATAAGGTCGAATCTGGCCGAAACTTGTACACTTGGAAAAATAGAATTTACGACTAACAGAAATACGTTTTCACCATTTTTTCGACTCAAATGGATAATTCAAAGTTTTACGAGTGAGCATAAGTATTCCAAATATTTTACTCATGTCCTTTGGTTTAAATGTACTCTTTTCACTTCCAAAATCATATTTATACTTTGTACTAGTAGTATTTGAATTATCTTCGATTCACCTAACTTTTGCTGGATGAACTGTAATATTTTCTCTTGATTAACCTTAGGGTTTATCGGTGATTGAGAGTGTTACCCGGAAAGATATTCTGGACGTTATTTCGCCTTAATAGGTGAGTGTACCACTCCCCTGAATTGTTGTTTAATTGGTTCATCTATACTTGAAATGTATGACATGGATAACTATGACCTCTGTTATTTTGATTGAGACGAGGGTGTACTTTATCACACTCGTTCTCTTGCCTGTACTGAATGAACTGGAATCTCTTACCTGTACTTGTTATGAACTTGAACTTGTTACTTGCGCCTGTTATGAGATCGTTTGGAAGTGTGTCCAACGATCTTCCTGTTAACTTGAGCTCAACCTCATGGGGAGTTAATTAAGTCGAGCCAGCAAGGGCTTGGTCGAGATAATTGACAATCCATGGGTGCCTGTTCCTGGGGAATCTTTGGGTATTGAGACTCTTGATTCCGGTATACTCGAGTATTACCATTCCTGTTACTGTTCGGCGTTCGGGTCCGGTAAGGGGGATGTTTGGTGAATGGAATTTTGGCGTAAGAGGGGTCTATGGACATGAGTGTGTTATTAAACGTTGACGGAGAGTCAACGAGGCTGGATCAAGTATTGCAACGATGATTTGGCTCCTGATGGCCACCTGTATCCTTTAAATTGTGGTGTTCGTTGATTTCTCTTACTTGATGTGTATATGTGGCCTAAACGTGTTTTCTCATGATTTCCACTGTTATACTTTTGGTACCTCATTGAGCTTCTAGCTCACCCCGTTCCGTTATCCTTGTTTTCCTTACAGGGAACCACTTTTGGAACTGTGATTTTGAAGCATCAGTTGAGCTAGTTTAGATATTTTATATAGCTCCTCAATTGTTGGAAACCCTAATTGTACTTGGATTGAAATGTTCCCTTTTGATTTGTAAAAATACGAATGTGGTTTACAAAAGTGTGTACTCATGGTCATGTGGTATGTTTGGTTTGTATATGTCCATTTCAAGGATTATATGAAGTTACTTGTATTCGATTGGGTCCTGGTCGAATTGTGACGTGGCAGGCACTATTCACTTTCCGTTTCGATTTTTTCATTTTTTCGATTTCGTTATTTTTTTGCTTTGTTTAAGAGCGCTGCTGTATTCCGACACGTTTTGAGTTGTGTATAACCGTCTTGGTAGTCCTGACGAGAGTTGGGCAGGCAGTCCGCTAATCTCTTTAGTACACCTTAGGGGAAAGTGGGGCTCTCACAAGTTTTCTTCCTCTTGCTCTCTCCCTCAAAGCTCAAGGCTGGAATGCTGAAATGAGGAGCAATGTGAGTGATTTTTGGTGATAAATATGGAAGAAATTGGTTGGTCAACAACCTTTAGATGACCGCTACTTGTTGCCATGAGATTAACTCTCAAAATTTTTTTCTTTTCCTTGTGTTTTTCTAGTCAATAATTTCAGCCACTATGAGCTAAGAAAGGGGCTGATATTTTGCACTAATTTCAATGATGTTTCATGGTAAGAAAGTGGTGGTCAAGTGGTGTGTTCAATCGGTAGTGAACGATACCCGTCGGTTCGAGCCGATTTTCCTTAAATCGCGTATACTAAGGTTTTATCTTATAATTCACTAACTTATTATTATCACTTCTAATCACACACTTAATATCATTTAAAACTCACTCTTAATCACCAAATTTGATACACAGTCCGTACCGAATAGTCACACTACGAAAAGGCGTAAAAATCCTAATTTGCGATAACTTGAAAACGAAAGGGAAAACCCTTAATTCTATATTCATTTGCACTTATTGTGGGGTGATTGGGTAGTAAGACTATTATAAAGTAATAATTTAACAAAAAGGGATTTTTAAGAAAAATATCAGGAATTTTACAAGTCCTCACACCCCATTAATCAATAGTCTATCCAACCTCTTCCAAATCCTTGCTCTTCTCTTTCGATTGTTGCACCAAGTAAAGGTTGATCCCGTAAACCCCGCATTAAATACCGCAGCCTCCTCCATAAAGGACAATAGCTCTCTACCCTTATTGATGCCAAAAGGCTGCCCTCCTCTCTTCTCCTGGGGTTCCATGATCACGTTGAAGTCCCCGCATACGCACCAAGGTAGGGAATTCGGTTTATTAGTCAATAGTGCCTGCCACAGCGTCTGTCTTTCCTCCAATGAACAACTCGCATGAACAAATGAAACAACTAACGGCCTGGGCAACCAGGGGTGCTGGACTTGAAGGGAGAGATGTTGGGACGAGCGACCTACCACGGAGCATACAAACGGCGAGCTATGGAAAACCCATATATCGCCTGAAGCGTTAGCCTCGGCTGCATCAAACCCCAACCGTAGCTGAATGGATTCAATTTGGGCCATCCCAGCCTTGGGTTCACATATTGCAACAAACTTAACGTCAAGCATTCGCAGTAGCTTAATTAGTCTCCTGAGATTGGGAGGTCGTGTAACCTCCCTAATGTTCCAAAAAAGACTGCTAATCTGTGACAGCCCCACCTCACCCTAAGATGAACCAAAGGGTTTGGCGGACCGCCTGCTCGGCTCTCGCCGGGACTACGGATCCGGAACAGACATAAACCCTTCCAAACGCTCAAAAGAACTTCAAAA